TAGGATAGACCTCCAGGTAATTACTTTATCCTGGAGCGGAACAAGGGGCTTATTTCTTGGAGGCGGCCCCGAATCGCCTCCCATGTACTTCCCAGTCACTTGAATGCAAGCTTTTGGCTGTGCCGACATGCAGGATACCAACCGCACACACACAGAGCGCACCACACACGCAAGCATGCATGGATGCGCCTGAGTGGAGACAGCTGGTATGAATCAACACAGCACTACAGAAACAGGGAGTCCATCCCCTGAATCCACCTGCGTCTCAGGGCAAGTACATGGTGGCTTTTGGTCCGCGATTTACCCCCTATCCGCCACCTGGGGTCGCGCCACGTAGCCTCGCCAACGAGCAAGCAGGGTTCCGAAGAGGGTTCAGCACGATCGACCATATCCACACGGTTACGAGACTCATTGAAGTTTCACGAGAGTACAAGATGCCGCTTTGTCTCACGTTCATCGACTTGAAGAAGGCCTTCGACTCTGTGGAGACAGAAGCGGTCATCGAAGCCTTGGGCAACCAGGGCGTCCCTACTCAGTACATCAAGATTCTTCGTGAGCTCTACAGCAACTTTACGACCAGAATCTCACCATTCTACAAGGAGGTCATCATCGACGTCAAGAGAGGGGTCCGACAGGGCGACACCATCTCGCCCAAACTCTTCAGCGCCGCTCTCGAGAACGTCATGCGTCAACTGGAATGGGAAGACATGGGAGTGAAGGTCGACGGCCGGCAACTACACCACCTTCGTTTTGCTGACGACATCGTTCTTATAACGCCGAACATCGAGCAAGCGGAGCGAATGCTGGCTGATTTCGACTGCGCCTGTGGTAAGGTTGGTCTGCAGCTGAACCTAACGAAGACGATGTTTATGAGAAACGGATTGGTTCCTGATGCCCCATTCACGCTCAACGGAACGAACATCACCGAATGCTCCAGCTACGTGTACCTAGGTCGGGAAATCAATATGATGAACGATCTAGCTCCAGAGCTGAGCAGGAGGAAACGAGCGGCTTGGGGAGCGTACAAGAACATCGAGGGAGTAGTGAAGAAGACGAAGAACATCCGGCTCCGTGCCCACCTCTTCGATTCCGCTGTCCTTCCTGCCCTAACCTACGCCTCAGAGACTTGGACTCTGCGCAGGCAGGACGAGCATGCGGTCAGCGTTATCCAACGCGCTGTCGAGAGGACGATGCTAGGAGTAACCCTATACACGCAAGTGCAGAGGGGAATCCGGAGTTCCGAACTACGCCAACGATCGAAGATCAGGGACGCTGCCGTTTTCGCCAAGGAATCGAAGATAAGGTGGGCCGGACACGTCATGCGATTTTGCGATGACCGTTGGACCAGAGCGGTTACCGACTGGATCCCTCGGGACGTCAAACGAACACCTGGACGACCGCCGGCCCGATGGTCAGACTTCTTCACGAAAGCTCTGAACGAAAGGAATGAAGGACTTCGTGTCCCTCGAGCGAGGAGGATCCACTGGACACTCTAGCACGCGACAGGGACGAATGGAGACGTTGCTGGCGCCCGCTCGAGCAAATCGACGATCAACGGGACGACAGGTGATACAGGTGATATGTTATAAAGCATTACCACCATTCTTGCTCGATCGCTCACCGTCGCCGTGACGTCAAAGTGACGTAACCACACTCCTTGCCTCCGCGCTGCCGGTGAGCAATTCTACGGAGACATGGCACCTTATCTAACAAATGTAGCAGTATGCTACTTTAGTCATTCTGCGTGGTTGATATATTACACAATTCATGGAAAACGAACGAGAGTAGCCCCAAGCCCTGCACAATGATTTTAGCTGCTGAGAGTTCTAATTAAATTAAATTAATTTCAATTAAACTAAAATGACTGGTCAATGTTCCTCCACTACCTTTCTAATAACAAGAAGACGTTGACGAGTCTGAACTGTTCGACTATTAGCACAACAATCCGCACTAATGATTTGAATGATCTGTGCGAGCTTGGGAAGGCCAGCCACAAACAAACAGTCACGTGGAAGCTCCATCCTGGTGGTTTGTTGATTATCGGAGTACTGAATCCAACACTTAACAATACTCTTGAATAAAACCAATGAGCCACATTAAGATCTAGCATATTCATCTTTTTCATCAAATGTTATCGTTGTTTATCCAGTAATCCATACCTCAAATGGGGAACAACAGTGCCAACATCGACTCTTAAAGGACGAATTCACGATTAGAATGAAAGTCGAAGAAGGAGTAATCCACCTAGTTGAGAGCGGACCTCCTAAGGGTGCGGACTGAAGCGCAATTGGCACCGAAGGAGTTGACCTCGGCGACCTATTAAGGCTCAATCTTGGCGCGGTGGGCCAGTGCACGCCCACCGATCATCTGATCACTCGCCGCAGGTCTATACGTGGCGAGTGATTAGATAGCGAGAGAGCGTAGTGTTGAAGAGGGCACAGCGATGAGAGTCGCATCAATGCTCAAATCAACGGGCAAGGAAGGGGTCCCATTTCTCGGGTTCTGGGCCGTTTCTCATGGTTCTTCCTTCTTTCGTGTACCACTCACCATCCCTAGGTTAATTTGAAATGGGTTGCTTTTTCATCGTGAATTCGTCCTTTAAGGCGACCTCACGATAAGTTTACGGTCGGAGATGAGGAAAACAAATCTAGTCGAAAACACGCTGACCTCGTAACGGTGCGGCTTGACGTGCGTTTCGCACCGCAAGGTATGCCCCAACGAGATCGTATTCAGAGACAAACGCTCGTAGCGCAGTGATTAGCGAGGGGGTTGTTCGGTCAATAGAAGGAGAGGGTGGTAAGGTCACATACAAGCAAAGTGGAAGAAAGTGCAAATCTCACTAGGAAATTTTGACAGAAGAAAGTTTTCTATTTCAGAGTTTCCCTGTAGAATCTAATATATGCTATAAATTATCGACCTTGTAGATTTCAAAGGTTTTACCTCTCCTCATTATGCCATTAAAGAAATTACCAATTTAGCTTCGCACGCTACCGCGCGCATGACATCGAAAGCTTCGGTGCAACTGGACGGTTGGTGGAGCGTTAGGTTCCACCGGTAGAAATAGGTTGCTTCCAGAAATGCGTTAGCTCACTGTCCGCTTGATACGCGCGGTGGAGTATGGAGTTAAAGCGATGTCTGTAAACAACCACCATGCATCGAATGTCAGGACAATTTAGCGGCCGTACAACATTTGATGCTAATGATGTTAACATGAAATACCCAGTACTGATCATCATGTTTCTTCGAAGCGGCCTCTACATCACTTTTGGGAACCAACACCTCTCTGCTGCTGGGACACCCACAGTGAATTTCGTGAAATTTGCGTTTCAGCGCCTCTTATCAGTCTTATCAGTCGTTATCACTTTCTGACCCCCACCAAATATGTTCCCGTCCCACCCTCTACATCATGTCGAAAATCAACGCTCCTGACTGCTGCTGGGATGCGCGCTATGAATTTCGTGAAATTTGCCTTTCAGCGCCTCTTATCAGCTTATCAGTCGTATCACTTTTGACCCCCATCAAATATGTTCCCGTCCCACCCCTACATATACTAAAATACAGCGTTCCATGCTTGCAGCGAAGCGCGCTATGAATTTCGTGACAAACAGACGCACACACACACACACACACAGACATACTTAGCGAATTATATATAGTAGGATGATTGTTTGGAGGTTGAAAACAGAATATCAGGAGAATGGCCTTAGAAAGCCACACAGGAAAAAACGGAACGACGGAATCATTATTTGTAGTGTGATTTTACAAGCTAATTTTATGTTTCTTTGAAGTCTTAATGTTCTAGTTTCTAATTTGCCGTTAAGATCTACACAAGTTTACAATAAGTTGATATGAAGGAAGTGATGAACGTTTGGAAAACTCGCATGTGCACAGAAAGGGAACAAAAGTTAAACATTCGCAACGGCACACACTATTTAAAGGAAACTGTCGTTTGAAATTCTCATTGTATACCGTCCCCCTGAGAATGCTAATGAAGAACACCTGCTGAAAGATGTTCCTTCTGTCTCTGTTTGAATTCCAGCAGTTTCGCATTGGATCTATATAAATATTCTATTTTTTGGCCATAGCGATTTCTAATTACAGATTGGGAAAGAAGTTAAGAAGGAAAAAGTTTTTAACTAAAAGTTTTCAACTTGTACTTAAAAAGTTATTTTTTTGTTTCCCTAATCGTTTTTAAACTAATGCCGTTCGTCAATTGGTGATATCTGGACCCATCCCCATAGAAAGCATGCTGTGCAACTCTTGTAGTCGTCGACCGGTTTTGTTTGTTTGTTCATCGACCTGAATTGTTCGTGCATTTTGACGTTTGCTAGAAAACCTTTAATTGCCTTCGTCAATTGGTGATATCTGAACCACTTTTGCAGCTCCCTTCCACACCAGAGTAATTGCCGGCCATACCGTAAGTTTATCATCACTTCACCAGAACGATACAGCATAGCCTAGCTGGCAAGACGACTTTCAAAAGAGTAAGGGATGCAAGAACTACTCGGTGAATTGGTCCTTTTGGATCCGAAATTAATTTGCTATTGATATCACTAAATTTATGTACTGATGGCTGGTTTAGTTACGTGTAACAACGAAACCAACTGGTTGCTATTATTTAGTTTACTTCTATCCTTTTTCAACTCATGCACGACTTTGAATCAATTGGTTGTGCTATTACAGAGTTTTGCCAAAAGCACGGTAGCTTCATGGACGATACCACTCGCTACAAAATTCTAGAATTTCACAACGGATTTCGAACTCTGCTCGCAGCGGGAATGTCACCTGGTTACGAGGGCAAATTCCTTCCAGCCGCGAAAAAATTATACAGGATGGTCAGTTTGAACGTTTTCAGTTTATCAGATTACTCTATCGGAAGGAATTCCCGTTAAATTCAGCAATTGTACGCATAGAGTGAAGTAATGTAATGATAGAAAGCACTGCCTCTATGAATTATATGTGCATGATGCTGACGGAATAGAAAAGGGACAGCCGAGGAGAACGTAGCCTTACCATTGAGGGCAGTATTAGCGGCAAGGACTATGCCCTAGAAAAATAGCGAAAATTGCTCTAGAAGCTGCGCGCGCAAAGCGCAGATCGAATGATGGGCTGATAGGGGTTCAGTCACAAAAGCATGAATGAAAGTTGTACAAGAATCACACTGATAAAATAAAGATGTCACCCGAAAGTGGCGCACAGATCCTCTCCTGATTTGTGGATAGTATTCGGGCACCGAAGTCATGACCACGGCCAGAAATGCTTCGGATAGGACTAAAAAGTAAAACAGCTCTCTGGGAAATCCCGAAAGGTATCTTATCTGATGCCATGTCGACAAAATTCAGATCCTTTGCCTCCAAGGAAACACGCTGAAAGTAAGTAAGGTGAAGGTAAGTAAGTAATCGGAGGTGTTGAAATGCTATAGCGACGTGAAAATCAAAAGGAACGATGTGGCCACAGCAGGAGCGTAGTGTTTCAAGAAATGCGTCGCGAATAGGCCAAGCGGCGGCTGGTAATCTCAACGGTGGCTTTACTCTTCATTTACGGTCCCTGATCACCACCTCTGACTGTGAGTCTATAGCAGTTTACTATTAGGTTGGTAACTTTGAAATGTCGTTTTTGATCAAAGATTCCTTCGCGTCCGCCACCAACCATACCTGTTGAAAAGGGAATGCCCGCCTCAACAAAAACCTATTTTTGCTTTCGCATTAGTTACAGGGTTTTCAAACTTGAGGCTTGCGAAATGGAAGGTCTCCTCGAAGAAAAATAGCCGAAACGACAACTACCCCCAACTTGATTTTTTCGTAAGACAAATCAACCAATGATAGACCCCCAACTTAGTCACGACCTCTCCCAAACACTCCGCTATTAGGCGCATCCTATCAAGTGCATCAGGTCTTTCGCCAGACTTAGCTTTATGGCCAAGAGTTCCACGTCTTTGCGACTCTATTCGAATTTGCCAACTTTTTACAGCCACTCACTAAAAACTATTGAAATGTCAAGAATAAGTCATAACTAAAAATTAGGAATGAATGCGTAGTAGATTTCCCTGCCCTTAGAGAAATTTTTTTCAATGCAATGTGGTTCATTTTCGTAGATGAACAGCTTACCACTCAAGCTTAAAATTTGACCTGACTTACAGCGATGAAAGCGAAGCAAGTCATGAACAGGGGAAGTGCGCCTCTAGAAATATATACTACCTGATGTATTGGGTTGTCTCATGATTCCTGTCTCATTTCTTTTCAAATTCAAATTTCTTTCGTCTAACAGCGGAAAAGATTGGCGCTGTGTTTGTCCCAGTCTCTGCTACTGATAGTGTAAGCACATCGGTCAACAGTACCCTGTTAGTTCTTTTCTTTTGGCTGACTCATCCCTTTCAGGGCGGAGGCGAGCGACACCGCCGACCAGAGGAGACGTCTGGCAGCAGGGCCGAGGACCGCGACCTCTTCCTCACCTCCGCTTCTCACCTCCGTAGAGGCCAACGCCCTCAAGCTTTCCATAGACGCACTACCGGTGACCAGAACTTCGATCAAGAAAGAGTCTAGGAAGGACTCAGAGATATCGAAGATCACCAGAATGCTCAGACAAGGATCATGGCCAGCCAAGCCTGAAGAGAACACGCGTGATTGGAAAGCTCTACGACATGCACTGTCTACGCAAGAAGGAAACCTGTATTTTGTTCACAGATTGTCATTCCGAAGTCTCACGTGGAACAGTAGAATCAACTATACAAGGGACATCCAGGAATGACAAGAATGAAAATGCTCGCCAGAGGATATGTCTATTGGATGAACATATCGATACTTCGAAGAAAATGTGTGCCACTGCTGCTACTGCCAAGAAACAGCAAAAGTGTCAAGAAAAACAGTTCTCAACTCGTGGTCTGACGAGAAGTAACCTTGGAATAGATTCCATGTTCAGGTCTTCTTGAAACCTGGGCATGTTGAAAATATTGCTTGTTTTTCTTCTTCTGCCATACAGGTTGTTACGGTGGAACTTATTTATTCGGTCGACGTTTCGAACAACTCGTCGTCTTCAGGACCTGAAGTCAGTTCGAAGTTTTAGCTTGTAACTTACCCGGTCAGTCCACACGATACTCCTCAAGAGTTTCAAATAGAGGAAAAATTACAACTAAGGAAACCAACCTTAGCAGCTCCACCAGCGCCACGTGTCCGCCCCAATTCCGTGAGTATAATGTGGAAAATGAGACACACATGACAGTGAAGCGTCTACGTGTAGTATGTGAATATCTCACAATTCCACATAAAGGAATGAAAGGCAGGAATTCATTTGTAATGGCAATGCATTCATTCCGGTTATTTAACTTTGGATTACGAGCGCGGATATAGAACGCTTCCAACATCTTTCTAGCACCGAACGTCATCCTCGCGGGCGAGGATTCTGCACTCAATATTAAAATCATTGCCCTGGTGATCTTCTAACCGGTGCTTGCCAAGTGGAGTAACCAGGTTCCCTCGCCTTTTTCCTGTAGATGTTCTTTAACGCGTATCGCTAACATTCTGCCCGTCTCTCCGATGTAAACTTCGTTACAGGTTGAGCACTGGAGTTGGTATACTGTCCCTCGTTGTGCATATGGAAAAAAGACGCGAATATTCGGGTTCGTATAGCCTATACGACGAATTGCACTGCCGAGGGCTGTCTCATTTTCCACATTATACTCACGGAATTGGGGAGGAAACGTGGTGCTGGTGGTGCTGCTAAGGTTGGTTTCTTTAGTTGTAATTTTTCCTCTATTTGAAACTCTTGAGGAGTATCGTGTGAACTGACCGGTGGTAAGTTACAAGCAACGTTCAAACTTGACTTTAATAGTACTGGAAGACGATCAGTTGTCGAAACGTCTCGACCGAATAAATATAGTTCATATGGTTGTCAGTTATACTCAAAGTGGCCTGAAGTTTCCGAGATGTCGTCGTCTACAACGAAAGCAACTTTGAAAGAGCTCAAGATGTTGTTCGCACGATTTGGAAATCCAAGAGTTATCGTGTCAGACAATGAAACACAATTTACATCAAGAGAATTCAAAGAATTTTCTTGCGACAGAAGGCATAGAACACATCCGTTCACCGCTATTTCATCCACAATTAAATGGACGAGCGGAGCGGAGGCGTCCGCATCTCTACTGAAACTGAAGGAGGGAGAGAGGTCGGACCCCTTCCAGAATTTCTGAAGTATTATCGAAGAACGCCGTGCACGTCAATTCCTGGACAGCTTTCACCAGCAGAATTGTTTCGTGGACGTCAGATAAAGACCACCTTGACGTTACTGAAGGAAACGACAGAAGGTGAAAAAAGGACCAAGAAATGCAAAAATGGAAAAGCAATTCAACCGTCACCAGTGGCACCGAAAAAGATCGTACAAATTGAAGAGACCAGTTTGGATTCGAGACTATCGTCCTGGACACAAGCGATGGATCCTGGCACATGTGAAGAGTCGCTTTGGACGAGTTCTGTACGACGTTCTGACGGAGAAGGTCAGCTGTGGAGAAGACATGCGAATCAGATGCGACTCTCTATATGAATCGAAAAATGAAGACATATGTGATATGCAAAACATAGGGGTATGCAAAACATCAAATCCATTGAAAGCAGTATGTTCGCAGTACAATGGCCCTTCTACACTCACTTTCACTGAAGCCTATGATGGATGACATGCGCGCGACAGCGGGCGGAAGAAAACTGGTTATTGCATGCACTACTATCATTCCCCAACACCTCCCCCAGGTGTGGACTTGCGCTGTGATTCCGTAATTTGCGTCTATCAACCCGTATTCTCGGCTCCTATCAGACTTTATCATCTTATGGTCCCAAATATTGTTTTATATATGCTTT